TACATATACATATATATTTATTTATGTTTCGTTTGTTCAATATGTGCCATGTGGATTTTATTTTCCGTGTTTCTCTTATCTCTATTGTTCACTCAACCTTTTCTCGTCTATTTTACTTGTATTTACACATATTGTGGCCAATATAACCATGAGAAAAACGATTCGCAAAGAAAAAGTCTCGTGTAATTGTTTATGCGACACCCAATGTTTTAGATCGAAGTTATGGCAAGTAGTGGAACGACAAAAATATGCGAAGCGGATGGAGGCGCATGCAAGAAAGAAATCCGAGCTTTCTGCTTTCATTGTTCGAAAAATCTCTGTCGTGCTCATTTGATGCAACATACGCAATTAATGGAAGAAAGTACTAGCGCTGAATTGAATATTTTGGCTGATAAATTCAATGAACTGATATCGAGATTTGAACAAGTTCCAACGTCGATGGACATTCTTACAGAGTCTTTTCGACAGATAGAGAAATGGCGCGCTAAAGCACATCAGAGAATAGATGAAATAGCAGATAAAAAACATCAAGAACTTATCGAGGAGTGTCAAAAGCACCAAAAAGCTTTATTGGCGAAAAAAGAAGAAGAATTAATGAAAATCAAAACTAGTAAAATATTGATTGCTGAATTGATTCAAGAAGCCGATGCATCTGCTAAACAAATAGCCGATCTGCAAAAGTCCATTGCGTTTGCCGAACAATATTTAAAGACGAATAATCAACCTACAATTGGTGTCATCGCCGATCCAGTGAGCTGTTCTGTTGATATATGTGTTGGATCCCGCAATAACCATATCATCGATGACACAGAAATACGACTGTTCCAAGTTCATTATGTTCGTTTGAATGGCAGTATAAAGAACTATGATGTTCAAACTGGTATCGACACCACAATGAAACACCTTATTCAAAATTTTATTGAACAGTATGATACAATAGAAAATAGTACGAAAGCTTATGCAAATGAACATATGCCAAAGTTTGATTATATTTTACCAGTCGATGTTTATGATCATCGTGTTCATCAACAGTTTACTGACACCACCGCAATAAGCAGTATACCAAATTATGTTCAACTCGTCTTTTACGAAACTCCTTTTTCAGTAAGCTATCCAAGCAACTCACGCATTCGCATGCCTTGCTCATTTCGACGAGTCAATTCAAATCGTATCGGTTGGCCTATTTATTTGAATGTACCTCGGAGAGGATGCCGGACTCAAGATGTACGAGATGCTCTACAGCAGTCATTGGACATATTTTTGCCAAGTGGCAATTTCAGGCAACGGCCGTCATATGGTCTATACTTAGAAACGATTGCCAATCATGTACTTACGACTATCAAATTCAGTGAAATAGTACACAATCAACTGGATTTTAACAGAGCACAGGTATCATTAGTGGTCGATATGGAGTACAAAACTATTGATTAATGAGAAAATCCTTCGAAAGTGATTCGATGACTCAATGCATTTCCAAACTTCGTTTTTGATCAATCATTTTAACCCTGAAAAATTTCTAATATCTATAACAAGACAAATGAACAATCCACTCCGATCTCCCGATCGATTTTCTATTCAATCTGTGATATAATCAAAAATGGTTAATAAATATTTCCGTCCATTGTATTTATCATGTAAATGATTTGTAAAAGTGAATCGTCAGCTCAAAAACATTCACTTTATTTTTATCACACAAGCAAAGTATCGTCCATAGTGTCAGACTATTGCTAAACGAATAAATAATCTTCACATCACTAAACTTTTATTTCGACTGAAATGTGAAGAAAAGTTTATTTTCGACTTCTTCTTCGTCTTCTCTCACTATCTTTAACAATTCCATCCAAACGAGCCAAATGTGTTGATTGATTTTTCATTGTTGTTCTCTCATCAAAAGTTAAACTAACAATCAGTGTTGCATTATCTGCCATCGATAGGTAGCCATCAATAAATTCATCAGCGAATTCCTGAAGTATTATTGTTGTTCCAGTTTGATAATTATCCGATGCGATTTTAACTGCGTAAGACATCTGATTTTGATTCATTGTGAAAGGAAAACATTTCTTTAATGTTTTATCTAATTCATCAATAACATCCTTTCCTTGGCAATGCAAATGTGGAACTTTCAACAGAATTGGCAAACCAAGTTTCATTTCCCATGGTAAACCATCTTGAAATGTACACAAAATTAAACAATACTTTTGTAAATTATTCATATTCAATTCGAATGGTGTTTCGTATAATACTAACTCATCAATTGTATTGAAAATTTTGATCAATTGAGTATCATTGGTAAATCTTCGTCGCAGTCGATCTTGACTAACTTCCGTTGCTAAGAAAAATTCTCGTCTGGGATTCGCCAACGATGTCTTATCTTGCGTTAAAATGAATTGATCGATTAAATCCGCAATCGTTCCATTAACATGAGCCAAAATATAATGAGATGAAACTACACCCGATAGTGAAACATATTTTAGACAAAATTCCAATTGACGAATAATTGATGAGGTCGACGAGGAAGTTGAAGAAATGGAAGAATGATCTGATGGTTTCCAATTGTTTACATTCATTCGGATATTAATTGAACAAGTGACAGGTGAATTGACGAGAATGTCAATTGAATGTTGATCGAATATTTGAAGATTGTCTTGAATTCGCTCGATAGACCCTCGAATATTCGATATATCCTTGTTAGTTATTTGACTTCGTCGATAAAGATCAGCTATTTTTTGTTTGTAACGATTGATCTTTTCCAATTTTTCATTACGAATTGTGTCGAATATTTGTTGATATTCATCGATTTTACTTTGAATTTCACAATATTTTCTCTCAAATATTTCATCGACTTGACGATGAGCTTCAGTTCGCCATTGTTGAAGTTTATCAATTGGAGTTTCACGTATCGCTTCCGGTATTGTCGACGCCTGGAAACGTGTAGATAAATTCGTGAGAATTTCCGAACAATCATTCAATACTAAACGATTGTACGCATTCATTAACTGTTGATGTTCAATCGAATGATCTAGACAAACATTTCGAGAACAATGAAGACATATTCCACTAAAACAGAAGAAAGAAAAGTAATTCGTTCCTTTCATTTCTTTGCGCAATACCAAGCTGCATTTGGGCATTGTTCATCACCTTCAGCTTGACATTGGTTTCTAGTTGTTGTCATTTTCCTCGTCTCGAAATGTATAATGAATCGATTATTCGGCGAAAACGACTTGATATTATTTATTATTTCAAAAAAGAATGCATAGCAAACATATTTTCGAAAGAAAAACAAGTGTTGGAACATTCTTTCCTGTTCCGTTGATTAACGCAGATTTTCAGCGTGCTTATCAGTGAAAAATGTGAACATCTGGAAAAGAGATTTTTCTTTTATTTCGAAAAGACCGAACAAGTTTTTCCTCGTTTTATAATAAACACACAGATAATGATCGTTTTTTAATAAAACGTCGTTTAAGTCCGTTACTCACAGGCGATTCTTTCTTCTCCGACCGAGCGGATCTTATTGAATCTGTTCTTTGAATAGGTTGAGATATGTTTGTTTCGAAATAATGTGTTTGAATATGAACAGAAAAACCCTCTGTCGAAAGTTGAATAGAATGTTTTTCAACATTGGTTAAAAATTGTCGTGTTTCATTGAGTTGATTTTCGAAAGATTTCATATCTTTTGTGGCTAAATTTGTTTGTCGCGATAGATCATTGAGATATCTTTTTAACTTGTCAAGTTGGTGTTTTTGTTCGGAAACTTGCTTTGTTAATATCGCTCGATATTCAGCGATTTTTATGTGAATTTCTTGACGTTTTTGTTCAGCTAATTCATCCAATTTTTCATGTGCATCGTGACGCCACTTTTCAAGTTGAAGAAATGGAAGTTCCAACACGCGTGGTGAAATCGAAAGTGTGGAAAGTTTCTTAGAAAAATCATTCAAAATGGTGCCATTTGATTCGAAAAATGTTTGTGATTGGCTTTCAACAAGTTGTGTATGTTCGGTCAAATGTTTTAGGCATAAATTGTATGAACAATGGAAACAGTTCGCTCTATAAAATACCCGAAGAAAAATCTAGTTGAAAATAAGTCAAGAAACGTGAGTTTACATGGGATCTTTGTCACATTTTTTGCCATTTGTATTTGCTTGACAGGATTTCGATTCGATTCGTTTGGACATTGTGAAGAGAAGCGCTAATATGAGAAGACTACAATCAAATTGAATGCGTGCAATCGTTTGTCTGATAAACTGTATCATGCCTCGCTGACAGAGATAAAGAAAATATGTTAGATATTGCGAGAAAGAGAGGAAGAGAACGACATCACGAATGTACATCAAATATTTTCATATGAAATGAAATGTTTATATTCATCGAAGATGTGTACCCATTTCATTTTTTATTACTGGAAATCATCGATCGATACTCATGATTTATAGATGGATCACGATCATGCGTCAGAATTTTGAATTTATTATGGTAAGGATGGTTATTTCCCAGACCAGTTCAGACCTCTTTAAGAATATTGATTTGGACTTGTCATTTTCGGTCAAGCATGTTTTTCCGAAAGATCATTCGATCATACTGTGAACAAAAAATATTTATTATATATATATATACGATCCAACGCATTCATCATCGCTCGTATTTGATCGACAACTACGTCATAATCCTAAAAACAAAGTCACTCCCGTTTCTTTTACGGCACGGTTTACTGTTAGAACCTCTCGATGTAAAGATCTGAAAATAAAGGAACACATTTAAACACATTGGTCGTTGATCAACTCTCGTTCATTTGATTCACTTGCATACAATATATCTTTCTTTGACATCTGATGATATATCTTATAAATTAAAAGCATAATACTGATGACAAGAACTTCCACTCGATCTACGCACAGATGATGAACATCTTGTCTATAAAGTTGATCTTTCGGCTAATTCACTTTCATCACTTCTTCAAAAGAACTAATTTATTCAATAATATTTTTCCAAATCAGAGTACAAAACTATAAGTACACTTCGGATCGTTCCGCTGATTGGAATAAAGTTTGTTTAAGATATCTACTGAATGCAATGACATATTGATGTTGAACTTGTTTGACAATTGACTGAATTTGAATAGCAACCAGATCCATAACAACGAGGTTATCGTGACTGAAAAACTCGATGTATGCGTCCTTTCTAACAGATTAGTCATGTCAACTTACCAGATTCTAAACCGGTATCGATTTGAACTTAATTTATCAACACCAATTGTACATTCAAATAGATGTTCTAGTTCTTTGACTTTACAACTCTGATGAAAATATACTTTTGATGAGCATAGAAACTGCACCATATAAAACTTACATCTTCGCCTAGCAAATTTCGTTCAAAACTAAAGGTTCCATTGGGCAAAGAATTGAATAGTGAACCAAAGACCAACATCTGTCGGTTATTAACCTTAAATTATTCAGATATCATCATAAGTTCTCTTTAAATTTCGTTCAATCAATTACATCATAAACAGGTTCGTCATAGTTATCAAATAATATTAAATCATGATAAATTCGATTCACTATAACTAATGCATAAACTATCAAATATACATTTAATGAATATGTATTTACATACGATCGATCTGATTCCTATCTTTATCAGCCGATATTTGAATAATCAATTGAAGTCTCAATTCATGACAGATCGAATCAACTTCCTTTGGAATATATTTTCCGTGGAAATTTATTGAAACATTCGTTTTTCTAATCAACTACAGAAGGATTATGTCTTGTAGTTTTTAGCAACAGAATGAAAATCTACCTGTTGCCAATATCCCGCATGTGTGATGGCCACACATACTTCATGCGAATAACCATGAAGAGGAATAATCACTTGTTTATTAATACTATTCGATGAAGAAGAACATGACATTTTAAATGCATTTCATCCATGCAAATGGACAATTATTTATACATGTACAGATGTCACAGGTTATTATATAGAAGAAAACATGACATATGTGAATATCCGTCAGGAAGTATCTATATGACCGTCGTACGAATGACGGTTGGTCATGAAATGTTGTCCTTAAGCTTTTTCTTCACAACTGTGATAATCGTAAAGTTGAGTTTAATCACCGCTCATCTTCATCTTCAAGATCAGTGAAAATATTCCATGCAAAAAATAACAGCATACTGAGAGACAATAAAATCGAATCAGATATTTATTAGAGCATATGTGAAATATCGAGTGATCATTAATAGAAGAAATTTCATCGTTACACTACGATGTCAAAGATCAAGGTTTGTTTTTCTGTTTTGATGATACTCGAAGCAATGAAGCCTGAAAAGAAAAGAGAACAGAAAACCAACATGCTCACATACAATATTTTTTTTCTCGTTCTTGCGCCGTCCAATAGGAAAGAAAAGAGAAGAATGTTGAATTTTTATGCCATGCGCATGTGAATTGATTCTGTTTAAAAAGAATAACATTGGTTTATTACCGATAAGATTTTATCGAAAGAAATCCAACAAGATGTTCTCGAATCTACTATTTTGGTTGATCAATATTGTCACATTAATCCTCCTAACTAGTCCATTGTTTTTGCTTTTACCTTATCTTCTCGTATTATTCGTTATATTTGTTATTCCTCTATTAATTTTCTTTCTCTATTGTTATTTTTCTTTGCAACGATCTCAAAGTTCAATTCAAGCGTTTGAAAATATCGTCATTGCTCACCGTGGCGGTCATCCCTTAGTTTTATCAAATGAACTTGATGATTTTCCTGAAAATACCATCGCTGCATATCGATGGGCATCGAAGATGAAAGGTGCCGATGGAATCGAATTAGATGTTTGGTTAAGTCGCGATCACATTCCAATGGTTAGTCATGATGGTTATTTGGAACATACATTTGCTAATTGTCGTGAATTTATCTCATCGTTAACATGTGAACAATTGAAACAATTCAAATATTGGAAAAAGAATAAACGAGATATCTATGATCAAATTGGTTGTGAAACAATCCCAACTCTAGAAGAGGTTATCATCTTTTTGGAATCAACGAAACTTAAATTAAGTAAATGATTGAAATTCATTTTCTTGACTATTTTCATCAAAATTTGTTTTCGTTTTAGTGATTGAAATTAAAGAAACACGCAAAATTCCGGAAATATCAAAGATTATCAACGATCTCTACGTTCGATATCCATTTTTATATGAACGTGCTTACTGTGCTGCTTTCCATCCATACAATCTCTATTCAATTCGCCGTCTCAATCCACGCATAACAACAGCATTTCTGTTTGTGCCAGATATAACTAAATATTTAATTCGAAATGCAAGTCAAACTCCTCATCCGTTTCCGAAATTTTTCATTGACAATGTTCTACTTCGATGGATCATCGATTCAATAATGATGTGGTTCGGCACACCGGCTGGTTTAAAATTTCTCGGAGCAGATCTAGCTTGTGTTGAACAACGACAAGTATCACAAAACTTCTTGGATGAATACAAAAATCAACGTTTCATTGTTTGTGCGTGGTGTGTCAATGAACGTGAACAATACCAATGGTTAAGAGCAAATGGTGTGTCAATCATTACTGATACGCTTTTCGACGTCAATGGTAAATAAATTCAATTTGGAATAATCTCGCTGAAAGTTCAGCTGTTTTTTTTCTCGTTCTATTCGTTTGCCGAACAATATCTATTCAATGAATCTCTTATCTACCTACGAATAAATAAATCGAATTCCTTATTTTATAAGAATATATAGTTGATACTGTTCTAAAATATATCACAACAATCAGTCTCTTAAAACATACGTGCGTTAAATGATGCCTCATTTTTCTTCACGACTGAGGTTTCACAAGGTCACGCATGAAAGGAAAGATGCATATGTATACTTTCTTCATGCATGATTTGTAACTGATGCACATATTTGCAACAGCTATTTGAAAAGTTGCAAAACACATGTTGGGTGTAATCATCATCAGTTGCTTTTGTTTATTTTCCATTTTGAGTATATATTTACTGGTATTCTCTTCTTATCGAATACGAACTTGGCGTGGATTCCTTCTCTTATTGTCCATGGTCACTCTACATTCGATGTTTGTTTATATCTTTCCTTTAACACAATTATATTTGCTATATTTTCTGCTATGCGTCGATTTGGACTCGCTCGATGATTTTTATCATCCAGTTCTTGTGTTCTATTGTTTATGTGAATCGTTTTTCTATTTTTTTACAATTGAAGAAGCGCGATTACTGAATAGTCGTCCATTACCACGTCGACCTCATTTACCAAAAAACTATGATGAATTATTAATTGATCGAATATTGAATGTTTACGAAAAATCTCGAGAGGATTTTCGTGTTTCATTTGCGGGATTCTTCGAAGGAATAGACAACAATTCGTATGATTTAATTTATAAGGATAATATTTTACAATTTATTGCAATGACAACTTACGGTGTGAAATATTGGAGTGAGATGAACAAAAGGCAACAGCGACGTGTTAAACACTTATATAGAAGATATCTAAAAATTTATCCTGAACAACAGATGAAAATACAGTCCGGTTACAATACACAAATACGTTTAAGACATCCATTCAAAGATGAACTGCAGTACACACACCATTCAATGATAAAATACATATTATTTGCGTGTGCGAGAAGTATATTTATCACAGTTATAAAATCATTCGGTTTTGAATGTCAAATGGTTAATGATGTTCCTTTTTATATTAGAAAATCATTGAAATCAACAAAGTAAATTTTGATAAACAATTTTTAAATAGTTAGATCAAGTTATTCTTTTTTAGTTTACCTCCGATTCTATTTCTTCATGGTCTTAGTCTAGGAACAAATAGTTATATTTTATTTATTCATCGTTTGTCGTTACTCGATCGTACTATCATTCTTCTGGATATTCCTCATGCAAGTATGCGTATACAGACGGAAATTCTTCCTTTGTCAAGTATTCTTTCATCAGTTGAAGAATTATTAAATGCATTTGATGTTAAAAAAGTTAATATTATCAGTCATAGCTATGGCTCAATTGTTCATTCGTGTATTATTAAACAATTATCACGTTTTGTTCAAGATCAACCAGCGATTTTGATTGATCCTGTTTGTTTTCTTCTATTTGATCCTCATTATTTAGATAATTTTATCTATCGTCAACCACGAACACCGAACCAGTTGCTATTACACACGATGTGCACAGAAGATCTTTATTCAATTTATCATGTCGAACGTCATTTATGTTGGTACGAGTGTGTGCTATGGACTAAAGATATTCAACAGCATCGAGTTCGAAGTCATGTGTACTTCTCAGAAAAAGATGATCTTATACCAGTTTCAATAGTGAATGAATACTTAAAAAAGTCGCACATTGATACAACAATCTTTCGACAATACAAACACGCCCAATTTCTTATATCAGAACAATATCAAGAAGATGTTTTGAAAACTCTAGATCAATTAGAAACGCAATCGATTACTGTTTAGCTCTTCTAATAAACTGATGAACATTCGTTTTAGCGCTTTCATTGTTTGAAAACGGAAAAGAATTAAGGCGCTTTGCCATATAATTTATTATTTTTCACTTGTCAAACAAATTATTGTGCAAATGAGTTTGCAAAAAGAACCATGGGGAGGTAGTTCGAAATGCTCATTACGCTCATTTTGTTTATACAACGTATTATAGAATCACTTTTTGACGTATGTGGTTCGCCTAAAACGTGTTGTTTCGCTACATGGTGTCCCGAATGTGTGTTTGGTTACAATGCTGCTAATGTAACTGATGGTTCTTGTTGTGGATATTGTTGTGCATATCTGATATTGATGCCATGCGGCTTATGTGGAATTGTGCATATGCCAATACGCACTAAATTACGTGAGAAATACAATCTTCAAGAAGAGCCCAGTGATTGTCTTGCGAGTTATTTATTTTCGTTCTGTGCTATTTGCCAAGAAGCGCGTGAGATCGAATCTCAGGATCAATCATCCAACACGAGAATTAAAACAACGCAACCGTTTAACAGTTCAGTCAGCAATGCTGATAGTGAATTAACAGGAGAAAGTGAAGCTTCACAAACATAAAGATAAAACTTTATCATCATATTCGCTTTTTCCTGTGACTGAAACGCTTAATATAAGGTGTCAAAAGTTTATCTCTTTGATTTGTTTGTGTCATACCGTATCGAAAGAAAGCTTATCTGATAAGACTTCGATATATACTTATATGACAGACATATGATTATTTTGTTTTGTTTCTTGAATGGCAGGCAAAAGTATGTATGATGATTGTTGATACATAAAGAGAAATGAATCAATTGAAAATGTGTAGTGTTGGCAAATTTAAAAATTGGATTTCTCGGCGCAGGTCGAATGTCTCAGGCTTTGGTTCGTAGTTTGATTGAACGTAATGTTGTTTCGTCGAAAGATCAAATCATGGCGAGTGATGTCGATGAGAACCAACGACGAATCGTCACTGTCAGTTATTTACAAATATCTTTTTAGCAATGAAGAAATTTCCTTTCATTCCTTGGGCTCTCGTAGTCTCAACTAGGTATTAAAACAACAGATGACAATCGGCAAGTTGTCAATAAAAGTGATCTTCTCATACTGGCTGTTAAACCCAAAGATGTTGAAGGTGTTCTGAAAGATATAAACGAATCATTGCTTCCAGAAAACCATTTACTCGTCTCAATTGCTGCCGGTATTCGCACAACAACGATCGAACAAGTTTGTGTATCTTTGTATCCAATGAGCTAGAAAAACGGATCTTTTCCTTTTCCATAAGGCATTGAAATCGAAAAGTCGTGTCATACGTGTCATGCCTAATGTTGCTTGTTTAGTTAACGCCAGTTGTAGTGTTTATTCTGCAGGACAATCAGCAACTGCAAGTAAATCGAAAGATTCTTTTTTTACTATTCTGTCTTTGGAAGCACAGGTGATCGATCGATGGTAAATCAAATATTTGCTTCCATCGGTTCATGTGAAGGCGAAATCGAAGAAAATTTACTTAATGTTGTCACTGCATTAAGTGGTAGTGGACCAGCGTATGTACCTTAATGCTGCACAAAGATACATTTCGTTAGCGAAAACGAAATCTTCTTAGTTTTCTGTTATAGCTGAAGCGCTTGCTGATGGTGCAGTAAAAGCTGGTNGACACAACAATCTTTCGACAATACAAACACGCCCAATTTCTTATATCAGAACAATATCAAGAAGATGTTTTGAAAACTCTAGATCAATTAGAAACGCAATCGATTACTGTTTAGCTCTTCTCGTTTTAGCGCTTTCACTGTTTGAAAGCGGAAAAGAATTAAGGCGCTTTGCCATATAATTTATTGTTTTTCACTTCTCAAACAAATTATCATACAGATGAGTTTGCAAAAAGAACCATGGGGAGGTAGTTCGAAATGCTCATTACGCTCATTTTGTTTATACAACTTATTATAGAATCACTTTTTGACGTATGTCGTTCGCCTAAAACTTGTTGTTTCGCTACATGCTGTCCCGAATGTGTATTTGGTTACAATGCTGCTAATGTAACTGATGGTTCTTGTTATGGATATTGTTGTGCATATCTGGTATTGATGCCATGCGGCTTATGTGGAATTGTGCATATGCCAATACGCACTAAATTACGTGAGAAATACAATCTTCAAGAAGAGCCCAGTGATTGTCTTGCGGGTTATTTATTTTCGTTCTGTGCTATTTGCCAAGAAGCGCGTGAGATAGAATCTCAGGGTCAATCATCCAACACCAGAATTAAAACAACGCAACCGTTTAACAGTTCAGTCAGCAATGCTGATAGCGAACTAACAGGAGAAAGTGAAGCTTCACAAACATGAAGATAAAACTTTATTATCATATTCATTTTTTTCTGTGACTGAAACGCTTAATATAAGGTGTCAAAAGTTTATCTCTTTGATTTGTTTGTGTCATACCGTATCGAAAGAAAACTTATCTGATAAGACTTCGATATATACTTATATGACAGACATATGATTATTTTGTTTTGTTTCTTGAATGGCAGGCAAAAGTATGTATGATGATTGTTGATACATAAAGAGAAATGAATCAATTGAAAATGTGTAGTGTTGGCAAATTTAAAAATTGGATTTCTCGGCGCAGGTCGAATGTCTCAGGCTTTGGTTCGTAGTTTGATTGAACGTAATGTTGTTTCGTCGAAAGATCAAATCATGGCGAGTGATGTCGATGAGAACCAACGACGAATCGTCACTGTCAGTTATTTACAAATATCTTTTTAGCAACGAAGAAATTTCCTTTCGTTCTTTGGGCTCTCGTAGTCTCAACTAGGTATTGAAACAACAGATGACAATCGGCAAGTTGTCAATAAAAGTGATCTTCTCATACTGGCTGTTAAACCCAAAGATGTTGAAGGTGTTCTGAAACATATAAATGAATCATTGCTTCCAGAAAACCATTTACTCGTCTCAATTGCTGCTGGTATTCGCACAACAACGATCGAACAAGTTTGTGTATCTTTGTATCTAATGAGCTAGAAAAACGGATCTTTTCCTTTTCCATAAGGCATTGAAACCGAAAAGTCGTGTCATACGTGTCATGCCTAATGTTGCTTGTTTAGTTAACGCCAGTTGTAGTGTTTATTCTGCAGGACAATCAGCAACTGCAGGTAAATCGAAATATTCTTTTCTTACTATTCTATCTTTGGAACGGTAGATGATCGGTCGATGGTAAATCAAATATTTGCATCCATCGGTTCATGTGAAGGCGAAATTGAAGAAAATTTACTTAATGTTGTCACTGCATTAAGTGGTAGTGGACCAGCGTATGTAAGTTAATGCTGCACAAAGATATATTTCGTTAGCGACAAAGAAATCTTCTTAGTTTTCTGTTATAGCTGAAGCACTTGCTGATGGTGCCGTAAAAGCTGGTTTAAGCCGAACAATGGCATTAACATTAACTATCAAGACAATGATGGGTACAGCACAACTTCTACTAGATAAAAATCAATCATTTCATCCCAGTCAGCTAAAAGATGCTGTCGCTAGTCCAGGTAAGACTGTGTCCGATCTGACCGATGTATATATTTATGCTCATAAAGGTGGTACAACAATTTATGGACTTCAAATGATGGAAAACGCTGGCATTCGAGCAGCTTTGATGGAAACGGTGTCTGCAGCAACGAATCGGGCAGCTCAATTAGAATCATAAGAATGTCTTTTTTTTGTTTACAAGATTGTGTGTTCATAGAAAATGATTAATACATTCAAATAAAACCAAATCAAGTGAGAAACTTAATTGTTTTGAATTAATTTTTATTCAACAATTCTGACCAAAAAAATATATTCTCTCGCAAATCAAAACAACACCTTCTCACCAAAGGTAGCCTATTCGCTGTATTTTCCTGTACACTAGTTTGGTGTATAAGTCGTCGAATGTTCCTTCTCAATTCTTGATATATTGAATTGACAATATTTTTCACGTGCGATCAAGTAGCAGCAAACTGTTTATGGTATGTGCCGATCTCATCTACTTACATTCTTAAGAAAAATGAACCACTCAATTCGTACTGCATGTTCAATTAGAATACAAAATTCTCATCTTCTCATGACACAACCACTAGAGGCATCTACCGATCATAATTTCTCTCCATACAGAACTACAACGATGTACATAGATAAACCATGGACTGAAATCAGTTGAGGTGTTCTGGCAAGCTTCAATCAGTCTCATCGCATATCTCTTGTAGATATATGTAATGATATTTCACCTCAGAAAGAATATCAAACTGTTCCGTATCTAAAGACGATCTAAATAGAGGTGTATTACTTAACAATCATTCCGAAAAAACAAGAAAACCTGTTTCAATTCATGATCTCCGTTCGCCGATGAACATTCAAATTCTCCTCTTCTTTAACAACAATTCAGCACAAATCATTTTCTCATTCTCACTTTTCTAGATTAACTTCAGCTTGCACGATGTTTTGCGGGAAATGCTCACTGACAGCTCGGTGTGTCGTTCTACCCTTATATGAAATATCAACCGTCGTTACTGGTCGTCATTTCTCAACTACGTTAAATGCACGAATGAAGAAACTCATTGATTCCAAACAATTTCGACATGCTCTCGACATTTTTGATAAGCAATCACACGCTGCTGATGATTTCGCTTTGAACATGGCACTCAAAGCGTGTAGTAACTTGCCAGACTATCGACGTGGACTTGAAATCGTTCGACAACTCTCACCCAAATCTCTCAACAATCCTTTCATTCAAACATCACTTATTCATTTCTACAGTGAGTGAAAACAAACGACAGGATGTGAAGGAGAGAAGTGCTGACTCGTGGAAAAGTTCCGAATGAAACAGTTTTCTCATCTCTTGTGACTGTTTCATGATCCATTTCCAATACTTTTCGAAGAGAACATTCTCAAAGGTTATCGTTTGTGTGACAGCCTCATATGACCGAAAGACAATGAAAATAAGAAGTTGTTTCTATTTGAAGTGAAATCCGGTGACTTGAAGAGTGCAATCGGTTTGTTCAACTCAATCCCGGTCAAGACGAATCCATTTTATACAACGTTGTTCAAAGGTAGATTTTTATTTAACAGATTGAAAAATAAATCCGTTCTGATATTTAGGGCTGACATCGATGAAAAAGTCGAAGGAAGTGTTGAACTTGTATGAACAGAACAAAATGAAGTTAGACGAAGGTGTGTTTGTAATGGTATCAAAGGCGTGTTCTGAAATATGTGATGATCGAGCGAAGAGGATAGGGAAATTATTAATTGACGATTTACCTGAAGATTTGAAAGGTTCTGAAAAAGCGATGAACTCAACGATCTTTATGTTGATGAAGTTTGGAAACGTTGATGAAGCTGAGCAACTCTTTCGCCAAATGAAACACAAATCTATCTACACTTATGGTGCTATGATGAAAGGTGAGTAAAACTTTTCGATTCATGAAAAATATCCATTCGATTCAACTTGATCAAATTTGTTAAGGTTATAACGATAATAAAAAGTTCGAGAAAACATTGGATCTGTTTGAGACATTACCATTCGTCGCAGACGAAGCGATCTACGCGATGGTTTTAAGCGCTTGCTCTCAGCTTACAAATGATCGTGCGAGAAGAATTGGAAAGCAGTTAATCAATGATTTACCTGAAGATTTCAAACGTTCTGAAAACGTAATGAATTCGACGATCTTTATGTTAATGAAATTTGGAAACGTCGTCGAAGCTGAGCAACTCTTTCGTCAGATGAAACACAAAACTATCTACACTTATGGTGCCATGATGAAAGGTGAGCGAAACTTTTCGATTGATAAACAACGCCAATTCGATTCAACTTGATCAAATTTGTTAAGGTTATAACGATAATGAAATGTTTGAAAAAGTGTTGGATTTGCATGTTAATATGCCCATGGCTGTGGATGAAGTTATGCATACAATTCTGTTCAGCACATGCACACGTCTATCCAATGATCGAGCATTACAAATAGGAAAAGAACTTCTCCGCAAGATGAATAAGCCCTATTATAACAATAATATCGTCATCACATCAGCTATTCACATGTTGATGAAATTCGATCTGGTGAATGATGCTGAACGTTTGTTTCGTCAAGTCAAAACAAAAAGTGCTCTTACTTATCATGCAATGATCAATGGATACAGTCAACTAGACGAGTTGGACAAGTGTTTTCAGCTGTTTGATCAAATGAAAAGTGATCAAATTCTTCCAAATGAAGTTGTATTTCTTTCAATGATCGGTGTTTGTGCCAAAATTGCGATACGCTCAGTATCTCAGTCAATTGTTGATCAAATACCTGCCGATCTGAAAAGTAGTCGAAATATTCAAAATGCGTTGATTTCCATGTGGGTGAGTGCGGTCAGCCCAGTGGAGAACATCATTGTACTGACAGTATTTGTTTTGATTTTGTTTAGGGCAAAAAATAGCTCGATAGGAAAAAGTAAAGAAATATTCGAATCATTGAGTGATCCAGATGTGGTGGCATATAATTCAATGAGTGAGTATAGATTTTGTTTTCTTGAGGCAAGCGTCAATATTTTTGAAAACGATGCTATTTTATGTTTTTGTAGTAAATTCATATGGACTGAACGGGATGGGTGTTGAGGCTGTCGAACTGTATAGAAGAATTCCTGTTGACATACGTGATGAAGTGTCCCGTATATGTGCGTTGAATGCGTGTTCTCATGCCGGTTTGTTAAATGAATGTCGTCACATATTCGACCAGATACCTCACAAAACAATAAAGATTGTCACCACAATGGTTTGTTTGTTTGACCTCATCTCAATGAGAGCATATATGTTGATGTATTAGGTTGATTGTTTGAGTCGTTTGGCAATGTTTGATGAAGCAGAATCAGTCATCGAAGATTATGAAAAGACAAATCCACCTTCCTCCGCTATGTACAGTGAGCATTACCAATGTAGAGAAAACTCTGGATCAATCTCTTCATTCACATTTCATTTTAGCGGCATTGTTGTCTGGAGCACGCAATGTTCGTGACTCGAATCTGTCTAATCGAATCTACAAGAAAATGCAACAACTGTTTCCTGATGAGAAAAACACACTCATAGCTGGTTCCGTTCTCTTGTCAAATATTTATTCGTCCATAGGTGATCATCATCGTGCAGGAGATATCCGTACCAATAGAATCAAACAGTTTGGATATAATGTGAAAGTTGCCTTATCTTGGACTTCGGTGAACAATCAACTGGTGGTAGGATTTGTTTGAAAACGTTACGGAACTGAGAGGTGAAGTTGATTTTCGTTGCGTTATTCTTCTTTTTAGCGATTCAAAGCTCATGATCATTCTCATCCTCAATCGGAGGAGATCTATGAAGAACTGCAACGTTTATCGTGTGAGCTCCGTGAACATGGTCACACATTCGACAGCAGTTGGATCACTCGTCCAGTGAAAGAGGATGAAACAGTGGAAAGTGTGTTGTGTGGTCATAGTGAAAAGTTGGCGATTGCATTCAACTTCATTCAACAACCGCCTCCTTCCATCATACAAATCAGTAAAAATCTTCGTATTTGTGGTGATTGTCGTAAGTGAACAATACTGGCACTGAAATTCAGTCATAGTTGTGCTTCTCTTAGATGCAGCTACGAAACTCATAACGAAACTGCGTCGGTGTGAAATCATCATTCGGGACGCAAATCGAATTCATCATTTTTCCAATGGAAAGTGTTCATGTCAAGATCATTTCTGAATCGTCGTTTCTTCTCTCAGTCAGATGGTGTGTGTTTCATGAAATAAATGACATGAAAGGTTGTTTTTGTCGTCAAAAGATAGCTGTAGATAACTTATGTTCCAGAAAAGAATTTAACATTTCAAGGCTTTTCACACTGTGGATAGCATGGGCTGTAGATATATTTTGCACTGTTATGATTGGGGACAGAAGCGTAAGATCGTTCGGATGATTTATTTTAAGAAAATATTGTTTTCCAACCATATACACCGATTGATGTTAACATGGCGTTCGATGGCTTTTTTCATCCACAGTTGTGTCATCTATTCTTCGTGCGCCTCCCAATAGACAGAGCAAACCTTTGCTAGAATCAATGCAATTTTTAATGAAACTGTGAAGGGTAAACTAAGCGCATACGAATCCCAAGATTATTTAATTGAATTTGGATTGACTGGAGATGATCGGTGGACTTTCATGATTGTCTTAAGATCCTTGTCCAGTCTTCTATTGAAGTGGCAGATGATATAAGGTTCATTCGATGAAAGTGTGGATGATGGAACAGAGTCCATTAATGGAAACAACTGATGAAGCGCCTTTCAGTTGGCAACACACGAATCATCTAATACAAGGTGAATGTTATGAGAACGTAGGAAGAACACCATTTCGTGGAACAGTAGAGGCCATGTCAGACTCATGGACTATATTACACGAACTCCATTCGACAGTGGATAAAAACAATGAAGTGTCTGAACAAGAAAAACTTGTTCTATTCATTGTCAATTATCTCCAGTTCTGAATAAAGAGGTGGTCAGAAGAATTGCTGGAAGTAGAACGTTAACCGAAATAGATTGGAGACTCACGCATCCCCGAAGGTTGGATTCAGAATGGATATTTATCATGTAGGAGAAAATGAAAATGTAATTCAGGATATATTTCATTGCAACGATAAGGCAAAGACAGAAAAATTGCAAGCATGTCATCAATTCGAAAGAAGTTAAGAGAAGAGTTCTATTGAACACAAAGCGTGTTTCACTCCAACATTGCAAATAGAAGTAACCTTGAGAACAGGGTTACCAACTGTACCCCATTTGGGGGTACAGCACCCCATTTCACTACTTTGCACCCCAAGAAAATCTGTACCTTTGGGGTACGCATTCTGTACCCCATTTCGATATTCTTCAATAGACTCTTATAAACAATACGTAGTGTAGCATCTTTTTATTAAAAACGAGAGCAGACTTTTTGCTACAACTTCTCTCCTGAATTTCGCGCAGATGAGAAATGTAAAACCACGTCGTCCAAATTTCCTAAAAGTTCACGATCTTGTCGTGGGCTTTGCTCCAGTTGTTAAAGAGATGATTTCGCAAGTTACTTCCAGGATCGAGAATTTTCTGAAACTCTTTCAACAAAGTGGTGACAATTAACCGATCACATCACTTTAGTTAAACTAACTGACCGTATTAGACTATTCTGTCTCATCAGTTAAAAAAGAATCGATGGCTCTATTGCAAGTGAGTAATTAGACTAATGATAAAACAAGTAACGCTCGTCTAGCGACTCGCTCAGCTCTTTCTCGTAGAAATCGTGCTTTCAGATATTACACTTCAAAGCTATTATTGTGTATATTAACTTATTTTTAGCGTAGATTAGATATTTTCACAAAAGCAACAATAGATATTTATACCAAATTTTAAATAGAGCATTAGACATTGTGAAGAAATATAAATACAGTTAGGAAGCTTATGGACGATTACATTAAAAAACGAAATTAAGAAAACACGATAGGCAATATCTGATGCAATGAGAGAAAAGAGACAGTTACTACAATAATTAAGATAAATGTGAAGCAGGAGATAAAGAAAATAAGCATGCATGAATAATTATTTTAAGGTAATTTCAAAGTATAATACGTTTTGTATGCTTGCAATAACACTAGACTCTTAGCAAAGTATTGATTTACACATGTTTCAAAAAATGAAAGAGGTACATTCTCGTTTTGTCTTTTTGTCAAGTTCATCTAAACGTTTCAGTTCAGCGTCTTGCGCAGAAGGAGGTTGAACTTGTAGAAACTTCATGTGGGAAGATCGAAGTATAACTATATCCCCTTTCTTCACTCTACTGAGTGGTGCATATATTGATGCTACTTGCAGTGTCCCAGGCGGAACTTGAAGATCGACTACGATTTTGTTCATTGTGAGTCCTTGCGCCTTGTATGTAGTTATAGCGAAGGCAGGTACAATTCCCGACCCCAAAATGTCTTCGGTAAATTTTTATAGAAAAAAACGTCGCCCTTTGTACAAAAAAACTAATGCATGTAAACATTTACAAAAAATAGCGCCAGATTCGAGTTCATCGACCCAAATAACTCCTTAGCCAAATTTTATAAAAAAGCTTTTTTTTGTAAAAAACGGCTCTTTGTCTAAAACATCATTTTTTACAAAGAATTTCGAGAAACTAACATCAGATTTGAATTCCTGCGCCCCAAAAGCCCTTTGGTAAAATTTTATAAAAAAAAATTTTTTGTAAAAAATTGGGTCTTTGTCTCAAAAAAAGAATTTTTTTTATGAAAAATTTCAAAGAGATGACATCAGATTCGAGTTCCTCGACCCAAAAAACCCTTTCGTCAGTCTTTATAAAAAAACATTTATTTTGATAAAAAAATGTCCTTTGTCTCAAGAAATTTTTCTACAAAAAATTTCGAGAATCTAGCATCAGATTCGAGTTCCTCCATCCAAAAAATCTTTTGGTAAAATTTTATCAAAAAAAATTTTTTTGTAAAAAAGTCATTCTTTGTCTAAACAAATTTGTTTTATGAAAAATTTCCAAAAAATAACATCAGATTCGAAGTCTCCGCATCGAAATACATCTAGAAATATCTTTTCGGAAAAATTGATTTTCAATGTTTTTTTGACCCTGCGGACATACAAGCAAGCAAGCAAACAATTTATGTTTCTAAGACTCTTCTCTACGAGAAAGAGAACTATGAATATATATGTTGCTAAAGCTGATGACTTTCATTGATTTTCACTACAAGATCGTGGACGGTGTACGATTTTGACAGTGAAAATACTGATTGTTGGTGATTATAGCAAAAAATTTAAAAAAGAAACCGTGATTCTCTGGCAGTATTGTGGTAGTTGTGACGATACGGGAATTTCATTATCTGATGAGTGAACTATATATAATTAAAGCATTATCGTTTGTCAATGACTAGTCTTCTTAGTTTACATTTCTCACGACGTCCTGGGAGTCACAGTCGATCTTGAATCGATTAAAATCCTTGCATTTGAGAAGTTTACATGCTGCTATTTTAACTGGTTTGAAGAAAATCGAAAAATCATTGTGCATTCTAGTTTTTTCATTAAGAAACATATTGAAACTAGTTTTATTTATATGACTTTTTTGTCTCAAAACAAATATCTCACAACATATCTTACAGAGAGAGGAGATAAAATGATTTTCCGGTAATAATAAGTCTTTTGTGGACTTCTTCGAATAGATCTAATATATTTCCGAATAAATTTTGTACCTCACGTCTGTACCCTATTTGGAGGAAAGCTGTACCTCTCGTGCACCCCATTTCTCATCTCCGATACCCCATTTGAGACCTGAACAGTTGGTAACCCTGCTTGAGAATGATATTGGGTTGCAGCGTGTGATCCTAGATTCTTTGATTAATCACGGTACAGATCTCATCAAATCAAGATGAACAACTCGATTCGCATACTAGACGTTCAATTCAAATCAACTGTTCATGAGCTCCAATACAGTTAGCAGCGGCATCTATCGAAACTCATTTCTGTTGCACTGCACATACAAACCAAACGAACCCAAATACAAAGATAAACCATGGACTGAAATCAATTGAAGTGTTCTGGTAAGATTCAATCAGTCTCATCGCATATCTCTTGTAGATATCTGTAATGATATTTCACCTCAGACAGAATATCAAACTGTTCCGTATCTAAAGACGATCTAAATAGAGGTGTATTACTTAATAATCAATTCGAAAAAAGAAGAAAAGATGTTCTATCCCATGCTCTCCGTTCACTGATCAACATTCAAATTCTCTTCTTCTTCTTCTTCTTTAACAACAATTCAGCACAAATCATTTTCTCATTCTCACTTTTCTAGATTAAATTCACTTTGCACGATGTTTTGTAGTAAATGCTCACTGACAGTTCGTTGCGTCTTTCTACCTTTGAATGAAATATCAACCTTCATCACTACTCGTCATTCCTCAACTACGTTAAATGCACGAATGAAGAAACTCATTGATTCCAAACGATATCGACATGTTCTCGACATTTTTGATAAGCAATCACACGCTGCTGATGATTTCGCTCTGAACATGGCACTCAAAGCGTGCAGCAATTTGCAAGACTATCGACGTGGACGTGGAATCGTTCGACAACTCTCACCCAAATCTCTCAACAATCCTTTCATTCAAACATCACTTATTCATTTCTACAGTGAGTGAAAACAAACGAAAGGATGTGAAGGAGAGACGTGCTGACTCGTGGCAAAGATCAGAATGAAACAGTTTTCTCATCTCTTGTGAGTGTTTCATGATCCATTTCCAATACTTTTCGAAGAGAACATTCTCAAAGGTTATCGTTTGTGTAACAGTCTCATATGACCGAAAGACAATGAAAATAAGAAGTTGTTTCTATTTGAAGTGAAATCCGGTGACTTGAAGAGTGCAACCGATTTGTTCAACTCAATTCCGGTGAAGACGAATCCACTTTATACAACATTGTTCAAAGGTAGATTTTTATTTAACTGATTGAAAAATAAATCTGTTCTGATATTTAGGGCTGATATCGATGAAAAAGTCGAAAGAAGTGTTGAACTTGTACGAACAGAACAAAATGAAGTTAGACGAAGGTGTCTTTGTGATGGTATCAAAGGCATGTTCTGAAATATGTGATGATCGAGCGAGAAGAACTGGAAAACAGTTAGCCGATAATTTACCTAAAGATCTCAAAGGTTCCGAAAAAGTGATGAACTCGACGATCTTTATGTTGATGAAATTTGGAAACGTCGATGAAGCTGAGCAACTCTTTCGTCAGATGAAACACAAAACTATCTACACTTATGGTGCTATGATGAAAGGTGAGTCATCTGCTTCACTTAACCAGAAGTATTCGATTAAATTTGGTTAGGTTACAATCATAACCAGATGTTTGAAAAAGCACTGAATTTATTTCATCAAATGGATCTGGCTCCTAATGAAAACATACTAACCATCATCTTCAACACATGTACACATCTATTTAATGATCGAGCATTACAAATAGGAAAAGAACTTCTGCGCAAGATGAACAAGTCCTATTATAACAATGATATCGTCATCACATCAGCTATTCACATGTTGATGAAATTCGATCTGGTGAATGATGCTGAACGATTGTTTCGTCAAGTCAAAACAAAAAGTGCTCTCACTTATCATGCAATGATCAATGGATACAGTCAACTAGACGAGTTGGACAAGTGTTTTCAGCTGTTTGATCAAATGAAAAGTGATCAAATTCTTCCGAACGAAGTTGTGCTTCTTTCAACGATCGGTGTTTGTGCAAAAATTGGCATACGCTCAGTATCTCAGTCAATTGTTGATCAAATACCTGCCGATCTGAAAAGTAGTCGAAATATTCAAAATGCGTTGATTTCCATGTGGGTGAGTGCGGTCAGCCCAGTGGAGAACATCATTGTACTGACAGTATTTGTTTTGATTTTGTTTAGGGCAAAAATAGCTCGATAGGAAAAAGTAAAGAAATATTCGAATCATTGAGTGATCCAGATGTGGTGGCATATAATTCAATGAGTGAGTATACATTTTCTTTGCTTGAGACAAACGTCAATATTTTTGAAAACGATGCTATTTTATGTTTTTGTAGTAAATGCATATGGATTGAACGGGATGGGTGTTGAGGCTGTGGAACTGTATAGAAGAATTCCTGTTGACATGCGTGATGAAGTGTCCCGTACATGTGCGTTGAATGCGTGTTCTCATGCCGGTTTGTTGAACGAATGTCGTCATATATTCGATCAGATACCTCACAAAACAGTAAAGATTGTCACCGCAATGGTTTGTTTCTTTGTTTGACCTAATCTCAATGAGAGCATATATGTTGATGTATTAGGTTGATTGTTTGAGTCGTTTGGCAATGTTTGATGAAGCAGAATCAGTCATCGAAGATTATGAAAAGATAAATCCACCTTCGTCTGCTATGTACAGTAGGAATCGATGAGAATGAAGCATGGTTCGTTTTTACTTCGTCACTGTTATTTCGTTTCAGTGGCATTGCTGTCTGGAGCCCGCAATGTCCGCTATTCGAATCTCTCAGATCGAATCTACAAGAAAATGCAACAACTGTTCCCTGATGAGAAAGACACACTCATAGCCGGTTCCGTTCTCTTGTCAAATATTTATTCGTCCATAGGTGATCATCATCGTGCAGGAGATATCCGAACCACTAGAATCAAACAGTTTGGATATAATGTGAAAGTTGGCTTATCGTGGACTTCGGTGAACAACCAACTGGTGGTAGGATTTGTTTGAAAACGTTACGGAGCTGAGAGGTGAAGTTGATCTTCGTTGCGTTATTCTTCTTTTTAGCGATTCAAAGCTCATGATCATTCTCATCCTCAATCGGAGGAGATCTATGAAGAACTGCAGCGTTTATCGTGTGAGCTCCGTGAACATGGTCACACATTCGACAGCAGTTGGATCACTCGTCCAGTGAAAGAGGATGAAACAGTGGAAAGTGTGTTGTGTGGTCATAGTGAAAAGTTGGCGATCGCATTCAACTTCATTCAACAACCACCTCCTTCCATCATACAAATCAGTAAAAATCTTCGGATTTGCGGTGATTGCCGTAAGTGAACAATATTGGCACTGAAATTCAGTCATAGTTGTGCTTTTCTTAGATGCTGCTACGAAACTCATAACGAAAATGCGTCGGTGTGAAATCATCATTCGGGACGCAAATCGAATTCATCATTTTTCCAATGGAGAGTGTTCATGTCAAGATCATTTCTGAATCGTCGTTTCTTCTATCAGTCAGATGGTGTATGTTTCATGAAATAAATTAAATGAAAAGTTGTTTTTTGTCGTTAAAAGATAGCTGTAGATAATTTCTATTCCAGAAAAGAATTTAACATTTCAAGGCTTTTCACACTGTGGATAGCATGGGCTGTAGATATATTCTGCACTGTTATGATTGGCGACAGAAGCGAAAGATCGTTCTGATGATTTATTTTAAGAAAATATTGTTTTCTGACCATACAAATCGCTTGACGTTAAGATGGCGATGCATGACTTTTTTCATCCACAGTTGTGTCATCTACTTTTCACGCCTCTGCCAATAGACAGAGCTAACCTTTGCTAGAATCAATGCAATTTTTAATGAAACTGTGAACGGTAAACTAAGCGCATACCGATCACAAGAATATTTCATTGAATTTGGATTGACTGGAGATGAGGAGTGGACTTTCATGATTGTTTTAAGATCCTTGTCCAGTCTTCTATCGAAGTAGCAGGTGATAAGGTTCATTCGATGAAAGTGTGGATGATGGAACAGAGTCCATTAATGGGAACAACTGATGGAGCTCTCTTCAGTTGGCAACACATGAATCGTCTAATACAAGGTGAATGTTAGGAGAACGAAGGAAGAACACTATTTCGTGTAACAGTAGAGGCCATGTCAGACTCATGGACTATATTACACCGACTCCATTCGACAGTGGATAAAAACAATGAAGTGTCTGAACAAGAAACTCTTTTTCTATTCATAGTCAATTATCTCCAGTTATAAATAAAAAGGTGGTCAGAAGAATTGTTGGAAGTAGAACGTTAACGGAAATAGATTGGAGAATCACACATCCCCGACGGTTTCGTTCAGAATGGATATTTCTCATGTAGTAGAGAATGAAAATGTAATTCAGGATATATTTCATCACAACGATAAGGCAAACAGAGAAAAATTGCAAGTTTATCATTGATTCGAAAGAAGTTAAGAGAAGAGCTCTGTTGAACACAAAGCATGTTCCATTCGAACATTGCAAACAGAAGTAATCTTGAGCATGATATTGGGCTGTAGCGTGTGATGCTAGATTCTTTGATTAATTACGGTACAGATCTTGTCAAAGTTGGCGAAGGCTATCCATTTAGCAACAACTGCCCGAATGAAATAAAATGCGCCAACTGTGGCTCGAATCACTATGCTGGACACTCAGCGTGTCCTCACGTGTAGCAAATAAGGCGCGAAATTAGCCAAAATCTAAAGATGAAAAGAACCGAGCTGCTCATCAGTCATGAAGAACAACTACACAACAAACGAGACCAAGACAAGCTAATCTATTCTCCTCAGTCGCAACCGAAGAGCGTCTAGAAGCCTTCGCTGTATAGTGACATGCTCCAAGGACGCGTCCACCCGATTTCAATCGCAAGTGATTACGAAACAAGTAGCCTGGAAAACCTTCTGGTTGAATCCACCAACAAAATCGAAAATCACCTTCGATAAATAGAAGAGTGGGTAATTAAGCAAGTTATCAAATCAGAAAAAAAATGAGATAAAGCCAATAATGCAGCACAGGAGGTTGAAACGATGGTTCAGGATAAAATCCTCCCGGTAATCAAGCTACTTTTAAAACAAGCTATGAATAATTCTAGAAATGTAGCTGTTAAAGACGAGCTGGTGAAATTCCACAACGAGATTTGCTCGTCCCGGTCGAGTCTCGATAATATCGCCCTTAATGAACTTAAGACCTTAAACAAACCGAAACCATCCTATCTGTCGTCCGAAAGAACAAACCATGCAATCACGGATGGATCCGATGAAGTTGACCAGTCATGTGAATAGTCCAGCAATTAACAAAAGCCTGGTAGAATATGCTGAAAGGAAATTTAGGCAGCTTGTTTCAGGGTTATCAAAATTTGAACAACAAATAGGATTATCTATGATTCATGACTGGTATAGAAATGAACGCAAGCAACAAGTGATAGAAAAGTGGAAACAACCAAAGACGAACACCGATGTCAAAGCAGCTAAGTTGACGATACTTCATTACAATATTCGACACTTTTATTCAAACCAGTGCGATTTGCTTGACATGATCACCCATCGCATCCCGATGATAATTTCTTTAAATGAATTCGGATCTCCAATACCCGAAAAAACGATAAAACAACTACTTTTCTCGTATAACATTGTTATGAAAGCAGGTACCAACTCTCACGGTGGAGTTGTGCTAGCAATTAACAAGAAATTGAACGAAATCCCAATCAACAGCCCGGAATCGAACATCGTAGCAGCAGAAATAACAATAAACGACGAAACGTTTATCATTGCGTCGATTTACTCACCACGAAATGAGAAACTATCATTATAAACAATGGCATCATTTCATCTGAAATCGACAAACGTAATAATTGTAGGCGATCTAAACGCAAAACACCCGGGCTGGGGTTGCATTCAAACGAATAAAAAAGGCCGGGTTCTAGCGGAGTGGCTAGCCAAGACGGAAATATACGAAATTCAAAACCAAGGTATGAAGACCTCTCTCCGATCTGACACCACCATCGATCTAATTATGACAACACCGAAAATAGCACTGGTGAATTGTAGAACTTTGCCGTACACAAGTAGTGATCACAAGGGGGAAACGGCGGACTTTAAGTGGTAAAGTACAAAAGTAGTTTCAAGTATGTTCAAGTTGCTCAAAGTGCCGAAAATCGATTCAAAGTAACTCTGAATTACAGCAAAGTACTTGTAAATTACATCGAAATCTTTGAAATTACGTTGAGTTACTTGAGATGACGTCAACGTGCGAGACTGCTAACTGAAATCGAATAATGATTGCCAAGGATAAAGTAATGTTGTAAATATCCGAATGAAAACTTTATCGCATAGCAAAGAAAGTAAGAGCATTAATCGAGAGAAAAATAGATGTGAGCAACTTATTGTCTATTATGTGTTGTTTGCTGCTGCACACGAGATAAACGATCACTAGATAGCTTGAATGAGTTGTTCGGCAGTAGCCAGCAGGCAAATTGCTTATGGAGATACTTGCTTTTCCCGTTATAATATTCAGTTTGGAAAACGACTGTTAGACAGCAGGGTTACAATTATCAGTTATTCGGATTCCATCAAAATCTGATTTGATTGAGTTTAATACGGTTTCACTATCATCATCGTCGTCACTACCCATCTCAGTTGGAAAACTAAATTGTCATGGTTCCCGATTGTTTTTTAAAGTGGGGGGGCTAAAATTTTCCAGCAACAGGGGAAAAAGTGAAGTGTAAAAACAAGGGATGACATTACAAGAAGTTTTTGCCAGAAAACCAAGTTAAAGACCAAAAAAAAAAAAAAACCTGTACCCCCCTCCAAGTTGCGACCCGGTCTACAGAAAACCGGTTTCTTTCTGGCAAGATTCTTAAAAAATTCTCGCAGAAACTTTCTGTCGAAATGGCAGAAAGTCGACCGCATTTTCGAATTTTGGGGGGGGCTGGCCCCCCCAGCCCCCCCCTGATCGGGAGCCCTGTAAATTGTGTTTCACCAGCGACTTGGTCTGGTGCGTAATTGGTTTCATCGTCATCCTCTTCGTCTAAGTCGAACTCTTCAATAAAATCATGCTCCAATAATGAGGAATAATCAATCATTCTTGAATTTTTCTTCAGTACATCGGAAACATGCTTACTTAAACTATTTATACCATGTAACCCTGACTTTTCTAATATCTCCAATATCTGCGAATGCTCAACAAGATCTATCGCTTCGTCGTATGCGATCGATATTATTTGCACAATATCCAACGTATCAATGGCATCTAACGAAGACAGCGATGTGGCCAATGATTGTGCATGTTCGCGCTTGTAATGAGTAGGGAACGATAATTCTTTCTGCAATGAATTGTTTTTTATCTGATTCAATATCGATAGTTTTTTTGAACGACGAATGAAATCTTTCACCGTAAAATTGATTGTTGAAGAGAACGTGCCACTTAAGGATCTTGCATCTCTAAAAATTGCTTCACATGGTTGTGAACTGAATAGATGTATATTGATCAGCGCTTGTTTGGGCAATTGTTTCTCTTGCACTAACAGAATCAGATACGGCAGATTATGAGCATTGAGCTCAACAGACATGCATGCTGGTCTCGTGATGAAACATTTGCTAGCTTCACTGGTTCTGTCATAACTAGTTGTAACAGTTGATGATACTTTATTAGATGATGCTTTTTGTACCCAGGTTGACCAATCCCGTACTCGGATTCGATCGGATACAATATAGGATTTTATCGGATCCTACAGGAATTCGACGGATCCGATGAAATCCGGATGACGGAATCGCATTGGATTCCGATGGTCTCGGATCCGAAACATGAATTTTCCGGATTTTCTAAGGGTCACCATAGGATATAGCTAGAAAGATCGCTCATAAAATTTGCAATAACCGACTGAATTTTTCTAGTCGGATTCCGATGCGATTCCATTTCCAGGAATCCGATCGGATTTTGTTGGCTGGTCGGATCCAGCATTTGATTTGTTGACCTGGGATGTCTAAACAAAGTTGCGGACCCAGTACCTACAACCAACCAATTAAGACCGATATCATTGTTGCCCGTGTTGAGCAAAGTATATGAAAAGCTATTTTTATTAAGATTCGACAAACGGCTCAGCGAGAATAACGTTCTACTTACATAGCAATCAGAATCTACACGTCATCAATCAACCTTAACAAGGGTCAATCATCTGGTGGAACAACTATCTCAATCGCTGACATACAACTCGTTTGTGGTGGTAGTGTACGTAGACTTCCTACAGGCATTCGATATGCTATGGTATCCCGGACTAATATGGAAATTAAACAGGTTACAATGCCTGTCCGCGTACTTACTCTGGATTATTAACTACTTCAAGGACAGGACACTTACTATTGACTATCATGAATATCGTTCAAGGCCGATCAACGTCTGCCGTGGAGCTCTACAAGGGTCGTGTTTCGGCCCAAAAGCATTCATTGTCAATCATTATGATTTACCTATGAACTATGAAAACCCAAGTGCAGTGCATTTGTACGTCGATGATCTCACGATAGTGTACATCCCACCAATCTCACAAAAATACGCAATCCAAAAGCATACGATACAAAGTATCATCAACAAGGACTTGGAAAAACTACGAATCTATACGGAAGATAACCTACAACCAGTGAACGTGAAGAAAACGGAGTACGTAATATATCACACATCGGTACAACGTCCGAAACTAGAAATCATGTACTCAGGTCAGGCCATTCATAGACAAAAATCGTATAAATATTTAGGTTTTTACCTCGGCGCCAATCTGTCGCTCAGATCGATGCTACACGCACAATTTATAAAACTCAGAAAGTCATACAAAATTATGAAGTACATTCATGGAGCCTTCCCAATCTTCTTCAAGTTGAAAGAAAAGTTCTTTCAGACGTACGCACAGCCACACATGTACTCGATGCCACCATTTACTGCTTATAGTCTTCAACCAATCAAGAACATATTGACCCTTTCGATCCCGAGAATTTCTTGCGTTCCGTATGAACACGAAAAATATATAAAATCTCTCTCTCTTGCGTTGAATCAGCTGTATTAGAATCTAATGCGATTATCGAGATATAAGAAACATGAAGAAACACATGAAAATTTCGTCCAACACATGATATTCGTCTTCTAAGTAGACGACAGAACGAAAAAATATCTTTCGTGTTCTCTATGGCATCTACGAGATGCCATGCGGGATCGAAAGGGTTAACGCATTCTATAGAAGACGCAGTAGAATGATCTACAACACTTTCAGAGCCAAATCCAAACATCTACATACGTCAATGGAGATCCCAACTCTGGATCCGAGATTTCGAAGAAGTCTCCTCGGAAGACTGGATAGTATACAACGATACGAGCCCGACAGGGTGAATTGTATCCTACCACACAGCAGCAGTCATCAAACTGCTTCCAGCTGGTCAACCGCCCAAGAGGATTAGAGCCCTCAGATCGGACCATGCCACTGCGTTCTTCGATAAATTATGCGAATTTGCATGGAAATAATCTAGGATCACGCAACAACGAAGTGCCAACTGCCTACACCTCCATACTCGAATTTCACATCATCATTTCCCAACAGCAATTGGCCCGCCGTTAGTAGCTTACTTCCTTCTCGATTGTTCTAGTCATTATTGGCCTCGGCTTCTAGCTTAGTAGTGTCATTGTATAGAGGAATCGGCTGTCAGCACCTCAGGGATGAATCGGCCGTAATAAATTCCGGCATTATAAAAAAAAACTCGTCAAACTAAGACGAACAACTCAATTCGCATACTAGTCGTTCAATTGAAATCAACTATTCATAAGCTCCAATATCCAATCCAGTTAGCAGGGGCATCTATCGAAACTCATTTCTCTGCACCGCACATACAAACCAAACCAAACGAAATACATAGATAAACCATGGACTGAAATCAGTTGAAGTGTTCTGGTAAGATTCAATCAGTCTTATCGCATATCTCTTGTAGATATATGTAATGATATTTCACCTCAGACAGAATATCAACCTGTTCCGTATCTAAAGACGATCTAAATAGAGGTGTATTACTTAACAATCATTCCGAAAAAAGAAGAAAAGCTGTTTCAATGCATGATCTCCGTTCGCCGATGAACATTCAAATTCTCTTCTTCTTCTTTGACAACAATTCAGCACAAATCATTTTCTCATTCTCACTTTTCTAGACTAACTTTAGTTTGCACGATGTTTTGCGGGAAATCCTCACTGACAATTCGGTGTGTCTTTCTACCCTTGAATGAAATATCAACCGTCGTTACTGCTCGTCATTTCTCAACTACGTTAAATGCACGAATGAAGAAACTCATTGATTCCAAACGATATCGACAAGCTCTCGACATTTTTGATAAGCAGTCACACGCTGCTGATGATTTCGCTCTGAACATGGCACTCAAAGCGTGCAGTAATTTGCCAGACTATCGACGTGGACTTGAAATCGTTCGACAACTCTCACCCAAGTCTCTCAACAATCCCTTCATTCAAACGTCACTTGTTCATTTCTACAGTGAGTGAAAACAAACGAAAGGATGTGAAGGAGAGACGTGCTGACTCGTGGCAAAGATCAGAATGAAACAGTTTTCTCATCTCTTGTGAGTGTTTCATGATCCATTTCCAATACTTTTCGAAGATAACATTCTCAAAGGTTATCGTTTGTGTGACACTCTCATACGGCCGAAAGACAATGAAAATAAGAAGTTGTTTCTATTCGTAGTGAAATCCGGTGACTTGAAGAGTGCAATCGGTTTGTTCAACTCAATCCCGGTGAAGATGAATCCACTTTATACAACGTTGTTCAAAGGTAGATATTCCTATTACTTCGTTCACCATCAAGAAATAAATGTATTGTGATAAGTAGGACTGATATCGATGAAAAAGTCGAAAGAAGTGTTGAACTTGTATGAACAGAACAAAATGAAGTTAGACGAAGGTGCTTTTGTGATGGTATCAAAGGCATGTTCTGAAATATGTGATGATCGAGCGAAGAGGATTGGAAAACAACTGATGGACGATTTACCTGAAGACTTGAAAGGTTCTGAAAAAGTGATGAACTCGACGATCTTCATGTTGATGAAATTCGGAAACGTCGATGAGGCTGAGAAACTCTTTCGCCAGATGAAACACAAAACTATCTACACTTATGGTGCTATGATGAAAGGTGAGTGAAACTTTTCGATTCATGAAAAATATCCATTCGATTCAACTTGATCAAATTTGTTAAGGTTATAACGATAATAAAAAGTTTGAGAAAACATTGGATCTGTTTGAGACATTACCATTCGTTGCGAACGAAGCGATCTACACAATGGTTTTAAGCTCTTGCTCTCAGGTTAGAGATGATCGTGCGAGAAGAATTGGAAAACAGTTAATCGATAATTTACCTGAAGATTTGAAAGGTTCTGAAAATGTGATGAACTTGACGATTTTTATGTTAATGAAATTTGGAAACGTCGTTGAAGCTGAGCAACTCTTTCGTCAGATGAAACACAAATCAATTTACACTTATGGTGCCTTGATGAAAGGTGCGTAAAACTTTTCGATTGATAAACAACACCCATTCGATTCAACTTGATCAAATTTGTTAAGGTTATAACGATAATGAAATGTTTGAAAAAGTGTTGGATTTGCATGTTAATATGCCCATGGCTGTGGATGAAGTTATGTATACAATTCTGTTCAGCGCATGCACACGTCTATTCAATGATCGAGCATTACAAACAGGAAAAGAACTTCTGCGCAAGATGAACAAGTCCTATTATAACAATAATATCGTCATCACATCAGCTATTCACATGTTGATGAAATTCGATCTGGTGAATGATGCTGAACGATTGTTTCGTCAAGTGAAAACAAAAAGTGCTCTTACTTATCATGGAATGATAAATGGATACAGTCGACTAGACGAGTTGGACAAGTGTTTTCAGCTGTTTGATCAAATGAAAAGTGATCAAATTCTTCCAAATGAAGTTGTATTTCTTTCAATGATCGGTGTTTGTGCAAAAATTGGCATACGCTCAGTATCTCAGTCAATTGTTGATCAAATACCTGCCGATCTAAAAGCTAGTCAAAATATTCAAAATGCATTGATTTCCATGTGGGTGAGTGCGGTCAGTCCAGTGGAGAACATCTTTGTAGTGACAATGTTTGTTTTGATTTCGTTTAGGGCAAAAATAGCTCGATAGGAAAAAGTAAAGAAATATTCGAATCATTGAGTGATCCAGATGTGGTGGCATATAATTCAATGAGTGAGTATAGATTTTGTTTTCTTGAGGCAAGCGTCAATATTTTTGAAAACGATGCTATTTTATGTTTTTGTAGTAAATTCATATGGACTGAACGGGATGGGTGTTGAGGCTGTGGAACTGTATAGAAGAATTCCTGTTGACATGCGTGATGAAGTATCCCGTATATGTGCGTTGAATGCGTGTTCGCATGCCGGTTTGTTAAATGAATGTCGTCATATATTCGATCAGATACCTCACAAAACAATAAAGATTGTCACCACAATGGTTCGTTTCTTGGTCTGTCTTCATCTCAATGAGAGCATATATGTTGATGTATTAGGTTGATTGTTTGAGTCGGTTGGCAATGTTTGATGAAGCAGAATCAGTCATCGAAGATTATGAAAAGACAAATCCACCTTCGTCTGCTATGCACAGTGAGCATTACGAATGTAGAGAGAACTCTGGATCAATCTCTTCATTCACATTTCATTTCAGTGGCATTATTGTCTGGAGCCCGCAATGTCCGCGACTCCAATCTGTCTAATCGAATCTACAAGAAAATGCAACAATTGTTTCCTGATGAGAAAGACACACTCATAGCCGGTTCCGTTCTCTTGTCAAATATTTATTCGTCCATAGGTGATCATCATCGTGCAGGAGATATCCGTACCAATAGAATCAAACAGTTTGGATATAATGTGAAAGTTGCCTTATCTTGGACTTCGGTGAACAATCAACTGGTGGTAGGATTTGTTTGAAAACGTTACGGAGCTGAGAGGTGAAGTTGATTTTCGTTGCGTTATTCTTCTTTTTAGCGATTCAAAGCTCATGATCATTCTCATCCTCAATCAGAGGAGATCTATGAAGAACTGCAACGTTTATCGTGTGAGCTCCGTGAACATGGTCACACGTTCGACAGCAGTTGGATCACTCGTCCAGTGAAAGAGGATGAAACAGTGGAAAGTGTGTTGTGTGGTCATAGTGAAAAGTTGGCGATCGCATTCAACTTCATTCAACAACCACCTCCTTCCATCATACAAATCAGTAAAAATCTTCGTATTTGTGGTGATTGTCGTAAGTGAACGATATTGGCACAGAAATTCAGTCATAGTTGTGCTTTTCTTAGATGCTGCTACGAAACTCATAACGAAACTGCGTCGATGTGAAATCATCATCCGAGATGCAAATCGAATTCATCATTTTTCCAATGGAGAGTGTTCATGTCAAGATCATTTCTGAATCGCCGTTTCTTCTCTCAGTCAGATGTTGCTTGTTTTAAGAAAATATAATTTTCCAACCATACACACCGTTTGATGTTAACATGGCGTTCCATGGCTTCTTTCATCCGCAATTGTGTCATCTATTCTTCGCGCGCCTGCCAATAGACAGAGCAAACCTTTGCTGGAATCAATGCAATTTTCAATGAAACTGTGAAGGGTAAACTAAGCGCATACGAATCACAAGATTATTTCATTGAATTCGGATTGACTGGAGATGATCAGTGGACTTTCATGATTGTTTTAAGATCCTTATCCAGTCTTCTACCGAAGTGGCAGGTGATAAGGTTCATTCGATGAAAGTGTGGGTGATCAAACTGAATCCATTCATGGAAACAATTGATGGACCTCTCTTCAGTTGGCAACACACGAATCGTCTAATACAAGGTGAATGTTATGAGAACGAAGGAAGAACACTATTTCGTGTAACAGTAGAGGCCATGTCAGACTCATGGACTATATTACACGAACTCCATTCGACAGTGGATAAAAACAGTGATGTGTGTGAATAAGAAACTCTTTTTCTATTCATAGTGAATTATCTCCAGTTCTGAATAAAGAGGTGGTCAGAAGAATTGCTGGAAGAAGAACGTAAACCGAGATAGATTGGAGACTCACACGTCTCTGAAAATGTGATTGAGAGTTGTGAATTGTTATTCACCATATAGGAGAAAGTGTAATTCAGGATATATTTCATTACAGCGATAAGGGTAGGATAGAAAAATTGCAAGCATATCATTGATTCGAAAGAAGTTAAGAGAAGAGCTCTGTTGAACACGAAACATATTCCAATCTAAAATTGCAAACAGAAATAACCTTGAGAATGATATCGGGTTGCAGCGTGTGATGCTAGATTGTGTGATTAATCATTGTACAGATCTCGTCAAACCAAGATGAACAATTCAATTTGTATACTAGACGTTCAATTCAAATCAACTATTTATGAGCTCCAATACACTTAGCAGCGGCATCTTCCGAAACTCATTTCTCTGCACCGCACATACAAACCAAACGAAATACATAGATAAACCATGGACTGAAATCAGTTGAATTGTTCCCGTAAGATTCAATCAGTCTTATCGCATATCTCTTGTAGGCATATGTAATGGTGTTTCACTTCAGACAGAATATCAAACTGTTCCGTATCTAAAACCGATCTAAATAGAGGTGTATTACATTACAATCAATTCGGAAAAAGAAGAAAAGCTGTTCGAATTCATGATCCCCGTTCACTGATGAACATTCAAATTCTCTTCTTCTTTAACAACAATTCAGCACAAATCATTTTCTCATTCTCACTTTTCTAGATTAAATTCAGCTTGCACGATGTTTTGTAGTAAATGCTCACTGACAGTTCGTTGCGTCTTTCTACCCTTGAATGAAATATCAACCTTCATCACTACTCGTTATTCCTCAACTACGTTAAATGCACGGATGAAGAAACTCATTGATTCCAAACAATTTCGACATGCTCTCGACATTTTTGATAAGCAATCACACGCTGCTGACGATTTCGCTTTGAACATGGCACTCAAAGCGTGTAGTAATTTGCCAGACTATCGACGCGGACTTGAAATCGTTCGACAGCTCTCACCCAAATCTCTCAACAATCCCTTCATTCAAACGTCACTTATTCATTTCTACAGTGAGTGAAAACAAACGACAGGATGCGAAAAAGAGACGTGCTGACTCGTGGCAAAGATCAGAATGAAACAGTTTTCTCATCTCTTGTGAGTGTTTCATGATCCATTTCCCATACTTTTCGAAGAGAACATTCTCAAAGGTTATCGTTTGTGTGACACTCTCATACGGCCGAAAGACAATGAAAATAAGAAGTAGTTTCTATTTGAAGTGAAATCCGGTGACTTGAAGAGTGCAATCGGTTTGTTCAACTCAATTCAGGTGAAGATGAATCCACTTTATAAAACGTTGTTCAAAGGTAGATTTTTATTTAACTGATTGAAAAATAAACCCGTTCTGATGTTTAGGGCTGATATCGATGAAAAAGTCGAAAGAAGTGTTGAACTTGTATGAACAGAACAAAATGAAGTTAGACGAAGGTGTTTTTGTAATGGTGTCAAAGGCGTGTTCTGAAACATGTGATGATCGAGCGATGAGGATTGGAAAACAACTGATAGACGATTTACCTGAAGATTTGAAAGGTTCTGAAAAAGTGATGAACTCCACGATCCTTATGCTGATGAAGTTCGGAAACGTCGATGAGGCTGAGAAACTCTTTCGCCAGATGAAACACAAAACTATCTACACTTATGGTGCTATGATGAAAGGTGAGTGAAACTTTTCGATTCATGAAAAATATCCATTCGATTCAACTTGATCAAATTTGTTAAGGTTATAACGATAATAAAATGTTTGAGAAAACATTGGATCTGTTTGAGACATTACCATTCGTTGCGAACGAAGCGATCTACACAATGATTTTAAGCTCTTGCTCTCAGGTTAGAGATGATCGTGCGAGAAGAATTGGAAAGCAGTTAATCTATAATTTACCTGAAGATTTGAAAGATTCTGAAAACGTTATGAATTCGACGATCTTCATGTTGATGAATTTTGGAAACGTCGTCGAAGCTGAGCAACTCTTTCGTCAGATGAAACACAAAACTATCTACACTTATGGTGCTATGATGAAAGGTGAGTCATCTGCTTCACTTAACCAGAAATATTCGATTGAATTTGCTAAGGTTACAATCATAACCAGATGTTTGAAAAAGCACTGGATTTATTTCATCAAATGGATCTGGCTCCTAATGAAAACATACTAACCATTATCTTTAACACATGTACACGTCTATCCAATGATCGAGCATTACTAATAGGAAAAGAACTTCTCCGCAAGATGAATAAGTCCTATTATAACAATAATATCGTCATCACATCAGCTATTCACATGTTGATGATATTTGATCTGGTGAATGATGCTGAACGTTTGTTTCGTCAAGTCAAAACAAAAAGTGCTCTCACTTATCATGCAATGATCAATGGATACAGTCAACTAGACGAGTTGGACAAGTGTTTTCAGCTGTTTGATCAAATGAAAAGTGATCGAATTGTTCCAAATGAAGTTGTATTTCTTTCAATGATTGGGGTTTGTGGAAAAATTGGCATACGGTCAATATGTCAGCCAATCGTTGATCAAATACCTTCTCATCTGAAAGCTAGTAAAAATATTTACACTATTTTGATTTCGATGTGGGTAAGTGTTGTTGATCCAGTAGAAAACGTCGTTGTTAGTGACAACTGATGAAAGAATGTTTGTTTTGATTTTGTTTAGGGTAAAAGTAGTTCGATAGAAAAAAGTAATGAAATATTTGAATCGGTGAGTGATCCAGATGTTGTCGCGTATAGCTCAATGAGTAAGCATAGATTTAGTTTTCATGAGGAAACCATCAATATTTTTCAAAACTTTTCTCCATTTGATTTTTGCAGTAAATGCATATGGTTTGAACGGCATGGGTGTTGAGGCTGTGGAATTGTATAGAAGAATTCCTCTTGGGATGCGCGACGAAGTGTCTCATGTGTGTACGCTGAATGCCTGTTCTCATGCCGGTTTGTTGAACGAATGTCGTCGCATATTCGATCAGGTATCTCACAAAACATCAAAGATTGTCACCACAATGGTTTGTTTTTTTGTTTGACCTCGTCTCAATAAGAACTTCTGTGTTGATGTGTTAGGTTGATTGTTTGAGCCGTTTGGCGATGTTTGATGAAGCAGAATCAATCATCGAAGACTATGAAAAGACAAATCCGCCTTCGTGCGCTATGTACAGTACGCATTTCCAATGTAACAGAGATGCGATACCAATTTCTTCCTTCACACTTGACTTTAGCGGCACTACTATCTGGAGCACGCAATGTTCGCGATTCGAATCTGTCTAATCGAATCTACAAGAAGATGCAACAATTGTTCCCTGACGAGAAAAACACACTCATAGCTGGTTCTGTTCTCTTGTCAAATATTTATTCGTCCATTGGTGATCATCATCGTGCAGGAGATATCCGAACCAATAGAATCAAACAGTTTGGATATAATGTGAAAGTTGGCTTATCTTGGACTTCGGTGAACAATCAACTGGTGGTAGGATTTGTTTGAAAACGTTACGGAGCTGAGAGGTGAAGTTGATTTTCGTTGCGTTATTCTTCTTTTTAGCGATTCAAAGCTCATGATCATTCTCATCCTCAATCAAAGGAGATCTATGAAGAACTGCAACGTTTATCGTGTGAGCTCCGTGAACATGGTCATACATTCGACAGCAGTTGGATCACTCGTCCAGTGAAAGAGGATGAAACAGTGGAAAGTGTGTTGTGTGGTCATAGTGAAAAGTTGGCGATCGCATTCAACTTCATTCAACAACCACCTCCTTCCATCATACAAATCAGTAAAAATCTTCGTATTTGTGGTGATTGTCGTAAGTGAACGATATTGGCACTGAAATTCAGTCATAGTTGTGCTTTTCTTAGATGCTGCTACGAAACTCATAACGAAACTGCGTCGGTGTGAAATCATCATCCGAGATGCAAATCGAATTCATCATTTTTCCAATGGAAAGTGTTCATGTCAAGATCATTTCTGAATCGTCGTTTCTTCTCTCAGTCAGATGGTGTTTGTTTCATGAAACAACAAATGAAATGAAAGGTTGTTCGTTGCTGAAATACCACAACGAAAAGCAATCGGCTCTAGCATCTATGATAATGAATTGACAAGGCTTCTTGTTGAGGCGAAGAGAGCTTTCACATCGTTGGATCAATGACTGATTTATATGCTACACTCTGAGTGAAGTGAAGTCTGGATGTTGTCTCGAGCAGATTTGATGTGTTCTGAACACGATGATATGCCTTTATGTGTTCAGCCAGTAATCTAGGCGAACGAAAAAAAGACGAATAAATATGAGATATTTAGAAAATGAACAAGATTGAATTGATATTGCCGAATCTGTCAGTGATTCTTGGAAAAATGGCGCACAGAAGGGGTTGTTTACACTATTGGGTGTATTTCGATGAATACATTCCAGTACAGAGAGTGCCGATTAGGTACCTGAACTCGTCCCCTTAGGACTTCCACGAATTTTATTTACATGAAGTTATACTCCCATGTTAAAAGTCTTGTTTCCTGTTGATCATTGTTGAATCAAAAATAAATATTTTGACATTTTTTAATACCCGAGGGCGTGTTTTGCAAATCATATTGGATTAGAAGCTCATAGAACAGAAATTTATTAATCACGTATAGATATTTAGAGCTTTGCAAAACTTTATCTATATAAAATTTTGATATTCAAGTTTTGATAAAATAACGATAAAAAATTACGTGGAGCACAGATAGGCCTTTCCTTTATAAACGACTTTTTTCTTTATTATTTTCTCTAGTTTTGTCTCGATATCGGAGATCAACACATAAACGGAAAAAGTCTTTTTGTTGTTTCGTTATTTTTTGTAAATCGAAATATTCTTCATAGCGATAAACAGGAAACTGTGGTGTCCTTTGATGAACTAGTGTTGCAACTAAGACCAGTGCGTAAGCTGTTACACCCCAAATGTGATACTTATCGACAGTAAAATGATGCGTCACGAAATCATCGCCAACTTCCAACATTTTATAGTTTTCATTGGCATGAAGAAATTGTTCTAAATCAACATAGAATGCATCGGTTGCTTCATCTGGTGATAGACGAAAATCGGTAAATTTTGGCGANACATCACTTCTTCATTTCTACAGTGAGTGAAAACAAACGACAGGATGTGAACGAGAGACGAGCTGACTCGTGGCAAAGTTCCGAATGAAACAGTTTTCTCATCTCTTGTGACTGTTTCATGATCCATTTCTTATGCTTTTCGAAGAGAACATTCTCAAAGGTTATCGTTTATGTGACACTCTCATATGGCTGAAAGACAATGAAAATCAGAAGTTATTTCTATTTGTAGTGAAATCCGGTGACTTGAAGAGTGCAATCGGTTTGTTTAACTCAATTCAGGTGAAGATGAATCCACTTTATATAACGTTGTTCAAAGGTAGATATTCCTATTACTTCGTTCATCAAGAAATAAATGTATTGTGATGAGTAGGGCTGATATCAATGAAAAAGTCGAAAGAAGTGTTGAACTTGTATGAACAGAACAAAATGAAGTTGGACGAAGGTGTTTTTGTGATGGTATCAAAGGCATGTTCTGAAATATGTGATGATCGAGCGATGAGGATAGGAAAACAGTTAATCGATAGTTTACCTAGAGACTTGAAAGGTACTGAAAAAGTGATGAACTCGACGATCCTTATGTTGATGAAATTTGGAAACGTCGATGAAGCTGAGCAACTCTTTCGCCAGATGAAACACCAATCTATCTACACTTATGGTGCTATGATGAAAGGTGAGTAAAACTTTTCGATTGATAAAAAACACCCATTCGATTCAACTTGATCAAATTCGTTTAGGTTATAACGATAATAAAATGTTTGAGAAAACATTGGATCTTTTTGAGACCTTACCATTCGTTGCGAACGAAGCGATCTACACAATGGTTCAAAGCTCTTGCTCTCAGGTTAGAGATGATCGTGCGAGAAGAACTGGAAAACAGTTAATCGATAATTTACCTGAAGATTTGCAAGGTTCTGAAAATGTGATGAACTCGACGATCTTTATGTTGATGAAATTTGGAAACGTCGATGAAGCTGAGCAACTCTTTCGTCAGACGAAACACCAATCTATCTACATTTATGGTGCTATGATGAAAGGTGAGTAAACCTTTTCGATTGATAAAAAACACCCACTCGATTCAACTTGATCAAATTTTTTAAGGTTATCACCATAATGAAATGTTTGAGAAAGTGTTAGATTTGTACGTTAATATGCCCATAGCTGTGGATGAAGTTATGCATACAATTCTGTTCAGCACATGCACACGTCTATCCAATGATCGAGCATTACAAACAGGAAAAGAACTTCTGCGCAAGA